TTAAGCAATGAGGAGCAGAAAATATGTCAGACTGAAGCCAAAGTCTAAACTCTGAAGACTTGGGTTCTTGATCAGTTATCTAGCACTGTGTAACAAACTCCAAAACTTAGAGCCTTAAAAATAGTCACTATTTTATTGATTTACTCTGCGGTTAGCAATTTGGGATGGGCTTTTGTGAATTGTTCTGCTAATCTCATCTGGCAGGCAGGGACCGGATGCTCTGGGGATGGTGCTGGCTGCCTACCAGGCCTGCCTCCCCTCAGGGTCTCTTATCTCTCAGATTCTAGAAGACAGAAGGGCAACACCTTCCATACACCAGGGCATTGGTGTTCACATTACCGATCAAGTGTGAGATTAAAATGCATTTTCACGCATACATGCATTCACAAATATTTTTTCCTTTGTATCCTTTCTTGCGTGCTCAAACTAGAGAAGGAAAGATAGAAAGAAAAAGAAAGAGAGGAAAGGAAGGAAGGAGGGAAGGAAGGAAGGAAGGAAGGCAGGCAGGAAGGAGGGAGGGAAGGAAGGAGGGAGGGAGGGAGTAAGTGAGGGAAAGAAAGAGAGAGAGAAATTAAAAGGTTATTAGACATTTTGCAGGCATCCTCAAACTATGGCCCATGGGTCACATGCAGCCCGCCTAGGACATTTATCTGGCCCGCTGGGTGTTTTTGCCACCACTGCCTGTCCTGCTTAGCAGCCGACTCGTCCCGGGGGCCACAGTCCGGCCCTCCAGCAGTCTGAGGAACAGTGAACTGTCCCCCTGTTTAAAAAGTTTGAGGACCTCCGCTTTAGAGAAATAGAGGGAGAATATTTACAATGTATAGGATGAAAACAATAGGCACTGATGAAAACAAAGAAAGAAAATAATACTGGTACACTAGTTCTGCAGTTTGTTACATTTATATAATAATAATATAAATATTGTCTATTGGCTTGCTGAATGGGTGGTTAACACGGGGAGTGTGATGAGAGCTAAACCAGAAACAGCTCCCTGATTGCCGTAAGAAAAAGCCACTAAACCCCTGTGATAACCAGGCGACAAAATACCAGAACAAACACATCATAAGAATGGCAAGGATGGCTTCTTGGGGGCCAAAGGACTCGGGGGAGGATGGAGCATATGGCAATGCTGTGTGTTATAAACTCTCCAGAACTATTTGATTTCTAACCTTGACAAAAATCACATAAAGAGTCTTTTAAAACGACACCCACCACTGCCATTGGTTGGGAGTAGAACTGGAGCCTCTCTCGGGAGGGCAGAACAAAGGTTTGTTTCTGAAAGGCTGAGTGTTCTTTGCGTCCTGTCCTCCTGTGGCCGGTGCTCAGACCTTCCCGAGGTGACTGGATTCTTGTTCACTTTCTCCTAATACTAAGTCCAAGGCCTGTCCTGGCCCGTTTCTTCTGTTGATCGCAGCCTTCTTGACTTGGCATTTCACTTTGGAAATACTCGGAGGAGGAAAAAGGCAAACAAGCGTGGGAAGTGTATCTTGTACAACTGCCATGAATGTTCATCCCCTATATTTTGAGGCATAACCATATGCCAAGCACTTACAGGAAACCCACCCGGGGCTAAATATTTACATATATTACTTCATTTTCATAGTCACAGGAAACCAAGTGTTACTGTCCCATATTCCGGATGAAGGAATTGTTACTGAGAAAGTAATTGAGAGAGCCGGGAGTGGGACCCAGCTCTGCAAGGGATCCCAAGGACAAACTCTGCAGTACTGACTCAGCCCTAAGCACAGCTGGCCTACAAAGAGGTGCCACCAGCGTGCTGTCCCTTTGCAAGCATTTCTTATGTAAAATCAGCAGTTCCTTATCATGTGAATCTTTTGACTAGTCTGGAGGGCGGGCAGGACACTGGCAGCATCCAAAGGTCATACTTTGTATTTGAACCAGAACATTATTCTAAAGCAGAAAAAAGGCAACAGGGCATTCCAAGAATCAATCCCCACCAAGCAA